ATCAGCAGGCTCAACTCTCCCACTAAACACTGCTTTGCTTTTTCTTCCCCATTCATCGTCAGTCTGTCTGTCCATCCCCTCCTTCCCCCCCTCCCCCCCCCAGCTCCCAGTGGGGCCAGGCATGCCATAATTTCTTAATGTGTGAAAACGTGCCATGACCAACTTTCATCCTTTGGCTTGAACAAGAACATCCGATTTCTCTTGTCCTCACAGACACTAGCGATGCTGGCATTGGATCCAAGTTCAACTCACCATGAGCCTCCAAGTCTTAGCTTCCCAGCTACAACTTTCTCCCCCACCATTTCCTTTTCTGTCCGTCTGTCTGTCTTCCCACCTTCTCCACTCCACAGTGCGACCTGGTTGGGCTTGAAATGTGAGCATCAGGGCCTCCTTTGCACGGCCTGGAAACTTCTAGGGGCAACAGGTAGGTGTTGCCACTGATCCTACAGCAATAACTACTTTGGAGTTTCAGAGATTCTGGAAACAAAGTCGGGACAGTGGCCAATGGTGGAACTGGCCGAGGGCATGGGGTGAGGGACCTCCTCTTTCTTCCACCTTCCTCTTCAGGGGTCCAATCAGCCACTGGGTCATGCTGGGGGTTGTCGGGACCACGCTCACCCTAACCTTTGAGTCCAGGTGAGATGTGGTCAGAGTAGGCAGCACGGAAGAGGGAAGGATGCCACCAAGGCAGACAACGTGAACTCAGAAGACATCAAGCTTCCCCGGGCTCCTTCCTGGAGCCAAAGGCCCAGCACAGCGAAGATTTCCCAAAGCCCAGAACCCAGATCTGGGTCCTGACTCTCCCCTTCTCTCCTCCAACCTCCTTCTGGTCCTGTTTCTACTTCCTTTCCGCGCCTGTCTCCTACTTACCGGTTCCTTCTCTAAAGCCTACGCTTTCGTTCCCAGATGTAGCATCTCCTTCGCTCCCAAGACAACGGTCCCTCCGATGGCTTGGCCCAGAGACGCTGAGCTGATGCTGCTGGCGCCTGAGTCAGGAGGCCCGTGACATCACCAGCCACATGCGTGCAGGTGAGTCTGGCCAGCCCCCAGGAGCACTCCCTCACCACCCTTTCCCACCACGCACCTGCACCTGAACTTGCCCTTCCTCCTCCCCTCACCCCCGCTGCACATTCATGTCACTCTGACAAGGACAAGCGTTGATCTACTTTACACAGTCACGACGCATCGTCAACCCAGCTCCAAAGTGTCATGGCCTTCAAAGGGATGTCACTTCCTTCTTCTCAAGCCCGAACTTAAACTCCTGGTGACAAAGGGCGGAGGAGGAGATGGGGGGGCCTGATTTCAGAAGCAAACTGGGCCGCCGCCGCCAAGGGCTGTGAGCGCCTGGAGGCCTGGGACCTGCCCAGGAGAATGTAGCAAATTTTCTCACTCCGGGTACAAGCCCTCCTCCCCATCGTCACCACGGTGCTCCCACTGAGCGAGGCTTTGCCGCCACACCAGCCAGCCCTGCCAGGCTCCAGGCTGAGCAAACTGAACTCCGACCCAAACCCACATCAGCCTGATTCTCTGCAGGACTGTCCAGCGGAGCCACCGCGTCCAAGAGAGAGAGAGAGAGAGGCGTGAGAACGCTCAGCAGACGGGCAGAGACGACCCATTCACAGCACGCATCCGATTCGAAAGGCAAAGACTGTTTTTCTTCCAGGTATTTTGTGGCTTCAAGTCCGCGATGCTCCGGATTTGCAGGGCTCCGAGAGCAGAGGCCTCCTGGTTCTGCAGGCGCCGGGCCCTCGCGGCTCCCACTAGCGGACCACGGACGCCACGCTGGTGGACACGGCGAACGGGGCGGAGTAGGCGGCGGCGAACCCCTGCAGGCCGATGACCACGTAGTGGCAGCCTTTGGCGATGGCCTTCCCAACGTTCTATTTTCAGGAATCAAGACAAAAGCAAAGAATTGGGTCAGGCGATTTCTGCAGGAGGGCGACATCCCCAAGAATCCTTTTGCTTCGTTCTCCCGGGGGGCACATTAGCAAGTGACCGTGTTTGTCTCACACCCACCCCCAGCCCAGGGACATGTGTGGGGACTCAGGACAGATGTCGCCACCGTGCAAAGTGCTTTCAAGCTCCTCATGTTTCCAGATCATTCCGAGATCTTGGGGACAGCAGTTCTTATGAAGGCTGGGTCAAGGTTTCCTCTATCACCTTATCCCAGCGCCCGCCCTGTCCTCTACCAGCAGGACAGAGCCCTGACCAACCCACACATTTGTCTCCTTAAAGCAGGGGTCCTCAAACTTTTTTTTTTTTTTAATGGGAAATGTTATCTGTCTTTATTGTTTAAATATGTGTCTTTGTTGTTTAACATTGCTTAGCTAGTGAAATTTCTGTTTGTGTCTCTTAAAAAATATGAATGTATTGCTAACCTGAGGAATGTTAACTATTTACATGTCACCTAAAAATTAAGGCTAAGAGTTCTAACTAACTGGAAAGCATAGCTTTGGTGTGATGGGAGGAGGATAAAGAGAAATACTTAATGGAAGGTCTGAGGGCATGGTTATGCATTTTTGAAGGACATAGAAAGAAAGTTTTCGGGTCCTCAAACTTTTTAAACAGGGGGCCAGTTCACTGTCCCTCAGACCGTTGGAGGGCCGGACTATAGTTTAAAAAAGAAACTATGAACAAATTCCTATGCACACTGCACATACCTTATTTTGAAGTAAAAAAACAAAACGGGAACAAATACAATATTTGTATTGGCATGTGGCCCGCGGGCCGTAGTTTGAGGACCCCTGGCTTAAAGGCTCTGATGGCCGCATCCAGAGAAGTCTGCGTTTCAGACACAGTTACAAACTCCTAAAGGGTGAGGACTGGGCCGTACTTCCTTTCTTTTTAAGAAAATATATTGTTATTGAGTTCAGAGAGGAAGGGAGAGGGAGAGAGATAGAAACATCAATGAGGAGAGAGAATCATTGATCGGCTGCCTCCTGCACACCCTCCACCGGGAGCGAGCCTGCAAACCCAGCCATGTGCCCTGATGGGAATCGACCCCGTGACCTCCTGGGTCATAGGCTGATGCTCAACCCCTGAGCCACCAGCTGGGCGGGCCGTCCTTTCCACCTCCCACTCCTCCTGCCCCTTTTTCTGCAAGACCTGGTGCTAGACAGGGCCATCCAAGGATTCAAATGCAATCACAACAGAAAACCTTAAGACGGCCGCCCGTGACCAACATAAATCAAGTTGTTGCCCCATCTTCCGCTCCTCACCCCACAACCTCCCTCATCATGACCGATGACCTCAGCATTCATGCAGGTGACCTGGACCTCGTCATCCACCTTGTCCCTCAACCGTATGGCCAGGGGACCTGGTTTCGTGGAAAATCCCTGATGGCAACCACAAACCTGTCACTGCCCACACTGCCTGGCAAGCCTGCCCTGTCTGTCCAGTGGCTGACGTTCTCTCTCCCCCAGGTGCCATTTCGTACCTTTTTCTTTTTTCTAAAAAATATTTTATTGATTTCTTACAAAGAGGAAGGGAGAGGGATAGAGAGTTAGAAACGTCGATGAGAGAGAAACATCGATCAGCTGCCTCCTGCACACTCCCTACTGGGGAGGAGCCCACAACCAAGGTACATGCCCTTGACCAGAATCGAACCTGGGACCTTTCAGTCCACAGGCCGACGCTCTATCCACTGAGCCACACCCGTCAGGGCCGTACCTTTTTCTTTCACACACACACACACACACACACTCACACACGCTCCGCGCCCCTCATTAGGTGATCCCCGTTCATTTTTCACTGAAAAGGTCAGAAGTGAGCAGGGCCCCGTTTTTGTGTCTCTAGTGCTTAGCGCGATGCCTGGCACAGAGTGAGGACCCCAACAGCACCTTCTGAGCCAGCATCTGAGCTGAGATGTGCACCTGATCCGCTCACCGTTTGGAAACGAGTTAAGTCGGCTCGCGTGAATTGCGCGTACTCGCGGGAGCCGTCTTTAACTCGGTTCATATAGATTTGCGGTGGAGTGCGGGAAACGTGTAAACTCGGGCCGATTGTAACTGCGTATTACCAAATATTTGTTTGTAATCCACCCTTTTGGTGGATGAACAAAACAAAAGACAGAGCATCTATATTTTGGCGGGAAATTCACCCGCACTCCAAGTGTTAAGAGCAACGATGGCTTCCTGGGCTCAGCCAGAAACAGGGAGCAAATGGTTAGCTGGTCTTGGCAGGACTCCAAGCCTGTGAGTCTCGCTTTATGGCGTTTAGTCACGTGTTTATAACTGCCTGCTGGCAGACTGCGCCCAAAGCTGCTGACATGCCTTCAGGGAGGATGATACACCTAAGATTCCAGGAATGGGGACTGGCTGGTTTCAGGTAGGATAAGGGCCGCTGCAGGGCACAGGAACCCGGATGATAGAGGAGACGGGGCCTTTGGCCTTTGGCCACAATGGACGCTGCGATGGTGATTTCTCTTCTGGGCGCTGTGTCCAGCCCCAGGGAGCAGGGGCAGCAGTAGCTTCGAATGCTTCCAGGCGGATCCCAAGGAGGAAACTGGCATTTTCTCCGACATTCACATCCATATCTCTTTCATCCTCTCTACCTCTCCCCTCGGCCTCCACCCCCGGGGCCAATGGCTGTATGTTTACAGGTGCATATTTGTGTCTTTATCCAGCTTTCAGGCCCTTGAAATAACCTTGGGAATATTTGGGGCAAGAACTCAATTCTCAGCTGGTGGACTACAGTGGGGCCTTGACTTACGAGTGTCCAGACTCTAACAAGTTTTTTGAGATACCAGCTGTCTCTCGGCAGATTTTTTGCTTTGAGTTGACAGAGTAATTTTGAGTTAACGAGCTCCTTAACGAGCTCCTTCACCGAATGAATTAAACTCGTAAGTCAAGGCCCCACTGTATCCTGGGGAGGATGTTGCCGGAAACGGAGCCACTGGGCTGCAAGTCCACACTTTGCACCTGGGTCACCTTCTACACCAGTGGTTCTCAACCTTCCTAATGCCGCGACCCTTTCATACAGTTCTTCATGTTGTGGTGACCCCGTGTCATTGTTACAAATTGAACATCATTAAAGCATAGTGATGAATCACAAAAACAATATGTAATTATATATGTGTTTTCCGATGGTCTTAGGCGACCCCTGTGAAAGGGTCGTTCGACCCCCAAAGGGCTCGCGACCCACAGGTTGAGAACCGCTGTTCTGCACGCACCTGCCCGCGCCCAGGCCTCAGTATCCCCACCTGCCCAGCCCACAAGGGAGTGTAAGACACACCCAGGCTGGGAACCGGTTGGTAAGCCACCCTTGGGCCTGTCACTAACCAGCCAGCAGCGGGGGCGCTGGCGGATGGGCCCCTGGGGACACCTCGGCTTTAGTTTCTATCCTTACTCCAAACTTTTCCTTCCTTTCCCAGGTCACAGCGGCACAGTTTGGGGGACGTAGGTAGTGAATCTTGGAGAGAGGGTGGCTGTGGGGGCGCCCAGGAGGCTGAGCGCAGGCACACGGTGGGGACGGGAATCCATTCCCCATTGGGAAGCCCCGGGCGCACCCCGCACCCCGATCCCGGGCAGTGGGGGGGCCTACCTTGCCGTACTTCTTCAGCTTCTGCCGGTACCTCCGCTTGGGCTTGTCCCCCGGCACCGGGGACGGGGCCACCGGCTCCTCCAGCGGCTCGTAGCGCTCGGGGAGGACGGCCAGGTGCACCCGCCGTGCGCTCCTCTGGGTCCCCGGGCGCGCGGTGCTCTCGGCCGCCGAGTCGTCCAGCTCCAGCTGCTCCAGGATGGGCTCCTCGTCCCCCGCCCGCCGCCCTCGCCCCCGGCGCCCGCGGAGCCTGGCACCCACCGTCATGACGCCGCGGCCCCTCCGGCGAAGGTCCGGGTGTGAAGGCACCAACCTTTGCTCCCAGCCCGCGGCGCCACCCCAGCCGGACGGGGCGGGCGGAACCTGAGGGCACAGCGCCCCCTGGCCGTGGGGCCCGGTACCCAAGGGACTCAGGAACATGCCTTGTCTCTGAGCCTCTGGACGCAGGAAGGAGGGGAAGGATGCTGAGTGCTAACCCATAGTCATCTTTCCTTACTGGTGAGAATCAGCCACCTGCCCTCCACGGAGCAAAGACCTGGGCGAGCTAAGACCCGTGACAATATACCCTCAGTTATAGAGTAAAACAGAGGCTGTCTTAAACATAATCACCGATTTGGAACAACTTGCATAAAAAGAGTTATATTTAATTGAAAGCAAAGTCCATTTTAGACATATAAAGACTTTGTTTTTTTAAGAAAAATATTTTTATTTCAGAGAGGGAGATAGAAACATTAATGATGAGAGAGAATCATTGATTGACTGCCTCCTGCATGCCCCCCACTGGAGATGGAGCCCGCAACCTGGGCATGGGCCCTGACCAGGAATCAAACTGTGACCTCCTGGTTCATAGGTTGACACTCAACCACTGAGCCACACCGGCCAGGCTCTTCCACATTCCGGCCTAGCCTGCCGACCTGCACTGCCCTGTCACTGAAAGGTGACTGTTTCTCACCTGTCCCCCACAGTCACTTCCTGGGGCCAGGCCAGGCCAGGCCAGGCCACTCCTCTGCCCACCCCCCCAGCTCAGTGCCTGGCCCAGGAATGCGAGCTGTGCGGCTGGCTGCTCATCTGTGAGGCAGGCCCTCCCTGGAACTCCGTCACCTCCAGGCTGTCCCCGCAGCCACGCCGCCCACCTCCCACCCAAGAATGGGTTCGCTGTGTTTTCCCCAGACCCAGAGTCTCTGGAATCATTTTCCATCGGAAGCAGAACCAGAAGTCCCCTGTGGATAAAGCTTCGAAGTGGGATCTCTGACACTTAAAAGGATGCTTTCACAATATAACGGATTCTCTCTCGTTTATCCAAAAGACACTGAAGACTTGGAAAATGACTGAGCTATGTGCACTTAATACTATTGAGAATAGAAGAATATTTGTATGGAGAAACGAGGTCAGAAATATGACCTTATACGTCAAAAGAGTATGTTTAACATTTTAAAAAATGATTTGAGAGAGAGAAAGGAAGTGAGAGAAAAACATCGCTTTGTTGTTCCCCTCACCCATGCACTCACTGGTTGCTTCTTGTATGTGACCTGACCAGAGATCGAACCCACAACCCTGACACACTGGGAAGACGCTCTAACCGACTGAGCTACCCAGCCAGGGCCAAGACAGTATTTCTAACAAAACCTGAAACATCTGCAATGGTGTATATTCGCCCTTCCAATGGTATTCCATTCTGACACACATATTTATTATACCTATGCATATTCTAATACATATATGTATATGTATAGGGTGTTCCAAAACAACATATAGACACAAGGCTACCTGGACCAGTTAAAGGATTCCTTTGGCTAAATTGTGACATTCTGATCACCCTAAAAGCACTCATGACTACAAATGGAAATAAATTGAGTCAATGAAAAGCCATCGGTGCATCCCAGTATTCTAAGAGAAATCCGTGTATGATATTAAAAGAACATGGCTATAAAAGACTATTATTTTCAAATATCATTTTAATTTTCTCTATGTTCTTTGGTCCTGCTAGATTTGCACAGTATGAGAAAAATGCAGAATTCTAACCAGTTCTAGAAAACTTATGAAATCACTACATCTGGATATGAGGGGTCCAATGGAATGGGACTGGCTGCTTTTGCAGTCAGATGGGACGTCATTTAAATAACCCCAAAAGTGCAAAATCTGCTGAAGCATTGAAGGACATTAACCTCAAATCTGTGAGTAGACAGAAGAAGTGCTATTCTTTTAATCCAGCGAATGTGGGCCACGAGAGCAAGCACTTTTGGGGTGCAGTGGGGTGTCTGTGTTATGTACAGGTCCACGGAGTTGCAACTATTGTGGGTGGTAAGATTGAGCAATGCATACTGGATGAGGTTCTCTGCCCCCTTGTGGTTGTGTCTGGTAATAACTGGAACCAACAACTATTTCCATGTGTCAAAAAGTTTAGAAGAGCCCTGGCCGGTTTGGCTCAGTGGACAGAGAGACCGCCTGCAGACTGAAGGGTCCCGGGGTTCAAGTCCGGTCAAGGGCACATGCCCAGGTTGCGGGCTTGCTCCCCAGTACGGGGCTTGCAGGAGGCAGCTGATCAATGATTCTCTCTCATCATTGATGTTTCTCTCTCTTTCTCCCCCTCACCCTTCCTCTCTGAAATCAATAAAAATATATTTTAAAAAAAGTTTAGAAGAAATGGTGGCCTTTCTGTGCTTTTGGCTGGAACTCGATCCATTCAGTCTGATAGCAGGCACGTCTCACACTCAACAGAATCTATGACTGCCAAACGCATCACCACTGAAGTGCTGCTCAACAGACCAAACTTTCTAAAACTGGGTTCACGATGAGGAAGGCCAAGGGGATGGTTGTTGATGAAAACAGTGGGAAGCGCAGCAAGCTGGGGTTCCAGAAACGGGGGCTGCAAAACCTCGCCGGGCCAGACTTTAGACCAAATCACACCATCTCTGAGCCCAGTTTCCTCAGCAGAGAAACGAGGGTGTGAACCACATGGTTTCTCAGGCCACGTGGGTCCCTGGTGTTCTGAGAAGACAAAATGAAGACGTTTAAAAATGTGAAGCCATATCCCAGTCTGGAGTCACGTCTGTCCATAGTTAAGTAAAACCTTTTCACAAATAGGACTATAGTTTAAAAGAAAGGAAACGTTACCACTCATTCTGCACTCAACCCCGAAGCTAAGGGCTTGGACCAGCCCATCCTTCCCAGCCCCTTTACAAACAACTGAGAAGAAAAGAAATTATGTCTGTTATAGGCCTACTGTGAGGCCATTTAATTTTCAAATAATGATAACAGAAAGAATGCATTTTTCATTTGATGGAGAAAAAGGCTGCAAGAAAGCTACAGGGGAAGTGGAAAAGGGAACGGTCTTTTTGAAGAGGGAACAGAGGTGACACTGATGCTAGAGATACCTGAATGCCATCAGCAGGAATCGCCTGTGTCATGTTTCCAGGTCCGAGCCGTGTTTCCAAGTCTGAGCTGAGACTGCCAATCAGGGCTTTACGTAATCTGCTTATTAACCCATGTGAACCTTGGCAGGCCCTAGAACAGGGGTGGGCAACCCCTGGCGCGCGTGCCAAACATGGCACGCCAGTAACTTTTGCTGGCACGCGAAACCCTCTCTTATAATCTTCCATTTACAATTGTGAATCTTTGTTCTCAGTGATAAATTTTGTTAAGTCTCGTAATAGGAGTAGCCTGACGGATGAAAGTAGTAGCTCGTGCATATCTCTGAAGGTCACGAAATATAAACCTGATGTAAAATCTCTGTCATCAGTGATGCAGCAGCAAAAGTCCCACTGATAGTATCAAACGGAGTCATAAAGTTTTCTGTCGGACCATCAGTGTACATGTATACATTAAAAAGTAAATGTATTTTTCAACATCATATACTGTGTTTTTGTCGCTCAAATGAATTTTATTATTTCTTCAAGGTTCTTCACATACGTACACTTTAAGAGATATCAAGTAGGCGTAACATGTTCTCAAAAAATCAGGGTTGGCACACAGAAGAATTTTGAGTCAGAGATTTTGCTGGTTTTGGCACGCACTCACAAAAAGGTTGCCCATCCCTGCCCTAGGATAAGTAGTTCATTTCGGGCACGTGTCTTACCACCATGACTAACGTCAAGCCTCTTCTCACGTATTCCTTCCACCAAAAGGGTCTTTCCCAGCCTCCCTCTTACACTTGACCCACCCTGCCATCCCTCGGAAGGCCTTCCTTTCTCAAGTCCACACACGGCTCCCCTAGCTCCGCACTCCGGGAGGACCTGTGGCTGGCACTGGCTTGAACGCTTTCCTGGTTTCCTAGTTGGGTGTGTTTTTTTGTTTGCGTTTACACTTGGTCTTCCCGAATGAACCAAAGTCTTGGAGAAGAGGAACCATCTTTGACAATTCCTTTATATTTCTTAAGATGTAGTAGGTACCTCAATAGATATTTTAAGAATCAAGGCTGGGACCATCTTGATTAATTGACATGTGCTAATGGAATCACGTATCTATAGTAAATTGGTGCCTCACTCATGTCTAGTTTGGTTGCCGATATTGGAAATGGTACTGCCGGTGAAAATCTCTTCATCACAAGGCCTTTGGGATTTTAAGTAAAATCCTACCTTAGAGAATATGATTGGGTTAAGGTTCTGGAACATAGTTCATTTTATTTATCAAATTTTAACTTTTCAATTTAATACTGTGCCCCAGTCTTTACATAATAACTAATTTAATATTAGGAATGTTATAGCAAATAATATTTAAACAGAGACCAAGGACACCCTGATATCACATAGCCAGTGAACATAAACTGGTTATTTATTGATGCGAACATATTGTAAAATTCTTCTAAATCTTCAAGAAAATGTATGCTGTTATGAATATATAAAACTGAAAATCTAAAGTGACTCTCCAAGGGACATAGGTAATACTTTCGACAATAAACATTTTTTTTTAATTTTAAAAATAATAAAGTGACTATCAAGATTTCATTTTTAGTTCATAAAAAATATTGAAGTAAATTTCCTTCCCACAAACATAGAAGAGAGAGAAAGTATAAAAAACACCAGTTCCTATGTTGAAAAAGGCATGATGTCTGTTTTTATAAAAACCATTTAGACAATAGGAACCGCTATAAAAAGATGAACCTTTTCTTGCTGTAACAACATCCTGAAAACCTACGTAGCTCCACCCCCTGCCAACAGAACGGAGAAGACACGACATAAACCCCCCTTCTGTCCTAGAAAACAGGTCATCCACATGCCGGTGAAGAGCAAAAGACGAGTGCTTTATTATGAGAACTGTTCAAGTAAAATTTCAGTGTGCACCAGTGGAAGTGAAAGGAATTTGCATCAATTGTCTGGAATGAACACGAGGTTAAAAAGGGGCTACACAGTTTTTTTCCAAACACCACCCTTGGCTAAGGCAAAAAAAAAAAAAAATACACTTGGTGTTCGAACAGAACCGTACAGAAGAGAGCTACATCACAGTCCAGTACAGAAGGTAAAATCCACCCTAGTCTGGAAGCCACGGGAATGAATGGCACGTCCCCTACCGAGAGCCGTCTCATGTAGGTTGGAATTACAGTATCACAGCCGTCGTGTTCTGCAGACTCATAAGATTTGAATACACTTTCTATGCCTCCGGAGTGTGCGGAGGGGGTCCATAGGAAGATAGTACAGTCATTACAACATTCAATAACATTGCACAGTCAACCTCCAAGGCTAATTCCGTATCAAGTAATGAGTATTAAAATGTACCTTTTCTAGTGGTTTTACATCGCAGGGATCATTCATTACGAAAGGAAACTAGGCCAACGCCTGATTACAAAGCCGCGCGTTATAGGCCTAACGATGTGGAATAAATACAAGAAATCTGGCAAAATCGTAAAAACAGAGAGGTTACGTGGGAACCAAATGAACGACCACATGAGCGTAAATCAAAAATATGCTGTTATAAATAGTATATTTTGCTCCACAGTCTCCTAAGGACTCACAGATACCACTGTGTCGGGGGTGGATGGAGAGGGTGAGGGGCGAAGGAGGCAAGCGTCCCCAATGCCAGTGAATTCCTGAGGTGGCATTATTTCCTAACTGACGCACGGACCAACACTGGGAAGATGAGTTGTGCTATGAAACAGTCCGCTATTATTATATTCCCACAAGGACACTGCGATATTGGGAAGGCAGCAAACCTATTGCGCTATACTAGCCAGATAAGGTATTGATTCTTTTTCATTTTGCTGCTACGATTAGCAGAGGGTCAGAAAACACTTTCAAGTTCAAAAGACATTGGATGTAGGTTTTCACTTCCCCTCAGTACTTCTTAGTTAGCTCAAGGCAAAGCTATAACTTATTTTCATGGACTCTATTTTAAAAACTCTAAGTGCCAACACTGTAAACATGTCGTAACTTCTCAACTAAACCTTGTCTGGTAACAAGGATAAGAGCAAAGATAAGCAGGAATAATTCTGTGTTGAATAAAGCCGATCTAGGGATCAGCTTCTGGTTTCAATTTCAATACGACTTGAAAATAATTTTTTAAAAGTCCATGCTACAATCGTAAAGACTACTTCTGTGCACTTTCAATTCTGGACACAATTACCTTCAAAATTACATGATGGAGGTAAGAATTTTAAAAACCCACCAGAATGTAAATAACAGGGAAGAATATTTTCAACTCAGAGCATCAAACGTACATTTATGTGCAGAAATCTAGACAACTATACAAGTTTTGAAGCAATCATCTGTTTTATTATACAACTCTATGAACAGAAAATGAACAGAAATACACAATATACTTACCTGTACATGTGAACCTACTTTTTTTTAGCTACAGATATTTATTATAGTTCATACTGACTTTAATTTTACAGTTCATAACTATGTATAACCTTATCGTGTTAAGGGCAAATTCTACATGGGTGATTCACAGGCCAATCGCATTAGGCATATTACCCAGTACATTCAAGAACTGTACCTCATTCGGATGTGTCTTCCCTGATCCTGCCACGTGGAGTTCCTTTACAGTTTGAGCTCATTGGCTATTTTAGATGCGATGTTCTTAAAGGCAATCGACGTTCCCGAGATTCGCTTGAAGCGGACCCCGTTCAGCGACAGCCGTGGCAGCTTGCACACTTCCATCTCCCACTGCACGAGGCTGTCCTGGCGGGCATCTCCGTGGACGCAGAAGAGCAAAAACCTCTCCTTCTGTTCGTAATCGCAGTTGTTTGCATCTAACACTTTCCGGATCTCTCGCATCATGTCATTGGGGTCCATGGAACTCGTGGTCTTCATGCTCCAGGTGAAGCGCAGAGAGCGTGGCTTGGGGTCTTTCCCCTCTTCCTTGTCTCTTTCTTTCGGGTCCCCGGATGTACTTCTGGAAGAACAGGGCACAGGGAGAGAACGCAGAGAAAAGTTCCACTCAGCACAGAAATCGACACACACACGAACTCTCAGGGGTCAGAATTCAGTGCTTCAAAAAATGACCTACTTTGCAAACTACCATCAGGCAAGTGCAAAGGTTCATGCCATCTTGCTGTTACAAAAACCGACCCCAGGAGGCCCTCTGTTTTGACTTTGTTAATATCTTCCATCTAAAATAGCGTGTTTCCGTAAATGTACTTTTTTTGTGGGAACAAATTTGCCGCCGGAAGTGAAGAACTGAATACTTTTTGAGGTCCTTCCATAGTTTTCTGTTTCAATTTGCAAAAGCCCAATCTTCATTTTCTGTACATTTGTACAAGAAGAGAGCCCACTAGCACTGTGCTTGTAAATACACAATTTTGAAACATAAAGAAAAATTTCCCCTTTTCTCTCTTTTTTTTGGGGGGCGGTAGGAGAAAGACTTGGGACAGCACAGTAGCAATGGCCACAGAGGGGTTATTTCTACCTGATAATGAAGAAAGAAGCTGGTATTGCAATGAGGTGAAGATGCCAGGTCGTACCACACACAGGAGTGTGGGCATCGGGCCCTCGAATCGTGTCCATGCTTTGCTGAAGACATCCTCAGCACGGTCTACAAGGCTCCACACACCTACACCCCAGATCCTCGCCCCACCCTCACCGCTGCGACTGTCCTCCTCGCTCACTCCCCCCAACACACTGGCCTCCATACTATTCCTGGAACCTACAGGGTCTGGTCTGGCATTGAGGCTTTCGCACAGGCTGTTCCCTCCACCAGAGTAGATGACTGACACGTATTTCTTAAGCGCATCAACCTCACTGAATTTTCCTTACTGTAGATCTCCCATGAATAATACAGAACCAGACAACCCATTTCACAGAATCAGAGAGGTAAAAGTAGATTTTATGATTCAGAATACCCTGTAATTAAATTTAATGAGCGATTATTCAAATATAGATGTTATAATTCTAATTTGCTAACCCATCTCACCTACATATGATTTAAAGTAGTGGTATATTTTTAAAGTATAATCTACTATCTACATATATTAAAAATTTTATATCAATATTATCCTATAATGTATACTCATGTATACATTTATATATACATTTATATATGAATTTTCAGGGATACGTGTATACTTATATTTCCCCCCTCATTCCTAGGCCTCTGAACGCCCAAAGCTCTGCAAACTATGCAAGCTTGAAAAAAAATAAGGAAAGAAATAAGTAGAGAAAAGAAACCTCCAAAGACTATGAACTAAGTATGGAGCGCATTTATCCCAATGCCTTCTCCAGCATTCTCTCTCTGCTCTCTGACCCTGAGCCCCGGGCCTCCAGGAATGTGCAGATCCAAGCAGAGACATTCATCAGGAGCGCACGCACACTCAGGTCATGGGTCAGCATGCTGGGGCTGGAAGGGACCCAAGAGATCACGTGATCGGCCACTCATTTTAAAACAGAACTGATGGCTAGGAAACTGAAATTACTTTTTAAAGCTCATACAGCTAATGACTTAAAAGAAAGACTAGAAATCAGATGTCTTATTCCAAGTCTAATTTGCCTTGCGGTCCACCCAGGAAACTTGGTGAGCTTCAGACAACAGGCACACACGACATTTTCTGGGTGTATCTCAAGGGCATCCCCAGTGGCAACGTTAACTCAGGAGCTCCTGGAAATGTTATAGTAATAACCACATCTGTCCTTTATCGAGCACTTACTCCATGCCAGGAGCTGTGCTACCTGCCTCACATGTGCTAATTCCTCGTTCGCCCCTCACAACCACCCTGTGGCGGTCAGAATAAGGAACTAGGGGCACAAAGAGGTAGAATCACTCTTCTAAAGTCACACAGATCATCCTGGGAACTGGTAGAAGAACACAGCTCACCCCACACGGTCTGGGCTCAAGAGCCCATGCTCTTCACCATCATGCCCCACATCTCTCTGCAAAGACAGAGACTTATTAGCACTGGCCTGGTCCCTCCTAGGCTCCCCACTGTCTCTTCTGTAAAATGGGACACTTTCCTCCTGGTGGTTGTGTGGATTCAATGACTAGCAAGTTCTGTAGAGACAGGATGGATTCAAAAAGTTTGTTCAAAAGCAAAAGAACAAACAAAAACGAAACCATGCCAATGAACTGAAATATTAGCGGGCGCCTGTGACACTGTCCACTACTAAATGTCTCAGAGGGAAGTTTAGAAAAAAGAGAGAAGACTCCAGAAGGGGGCTCAGAAGTGATGACCTAGTGCGGGATGACCTAGGTCCTTTGTGTTGCCTGCCTCTGGCTCCCTTCCACGGTGTGACTCAGGCACCTACCTCCATGAAGAATCATTTCAACTCTTATGACTAAACATAAATACAGCGCAGTTTGTAAGAAGAACTACCTTGGAATGTTCAAGCAAGTTTTTCCCAAGCTCATGATGTTTTATATCCCAAGTCATTTTAAAAAGTAGAAATTAAATCGAGGCTTGTGTTCAACTGGTCAAAAGTTACTCCTGAAGGAAGCGGGGCATGTGTTCACACAAACTACTTCAGTGCTTTTGTTCCTTAAACTTCTCATTTATAAATGTAAACACAAGTAGTAACATGTCATTAATGTGGTCCCCAGGCCCCAGGCTGCCCATCACAAACCCTGGGAGTGGGACCCAGCCATCCGTTTAATCAAGTTTCGACTGCGCTCAAGTTTGAGACCTGTCGTCAGGTCGAAGACACAACCAGTATTAAATGTCAAAAACCACAAAGCATGCCAGGTGACCATTTCCACACGTGGCCTATAGCTGAACACTCACCTGAAGTATATCACTAATATCAAATCTTCCCATGGACTTGGTTACCTCAGTGATCTATGCTATTTAAGACTAATATTAGTGACATCGTTTTAGTGAGAAAAGGATCAGTACATTTTAATCTATTCATTCTTTTGCCAACACATCTATTACGGGACAGAAAGGCCATTTCTCTACAAAGCATACAAATCAAAATCATGTTTGGAAAACACAAACTTACAGTTAATTAACTTACACGTAATTAAGTGCTAGGCAACATGAGGGAAACCCATCCCAATATAAAAATTTAAAATACACATACTAGCTAGTGATTCATTCTATTCATTTTATGAAGTGCTGTCGGTATTTCAAAAGCACGTTTGCATACACGGGCCCTGGCAGCGAAGGGTTAATAGTGGCTCCTCACCTTGAGGTGTCTGTTCTGCCACTGGCTTCGCCTTCACTTGGATCCCTCAAAACAAAGTGAAGGTTGAGATTTAATGATAAGAGTGAAAAATAGATCAAGAAAACCTACATCTGAAATGATTTTAAAATTAACTTGTTGAGCCAACTTCTAGCGTGACAGTTTCTGTGACTCGTCAGTCTAATACTGTTTCTCATGTTTTTCAACATAACCACACTGAACTGTCACTCATTGAGCGTCTACTGGGTATTGTCAGGGAGGAAATGCTGGGTGATGGTTTAGGATTTTTTTATACATGATCTTCCAATTCTCAGACATGATTTTAAAGTTATAATTTATTTTTTGGTTTAGTTTAGTTCAATCTAAAGTTAAAACTATTGAATAATTATCAACAGCAAGATTCAACTGCGTATTTGTTATGAAACAGAATTCTAGTAGTCGCTCAATTTTAGAAAACATACACATTAACCTAGTAGTTAGAAATAAAGCTCAACACATATATCAGTATTTCTAAAAATAAGTACCAATTTTTAAATAAGCAGTTAACTTATTTCAGAAGTTAAGCTAATGATTCATGCACATGGTAAAATATTACAGCAAACGAACAGCCCACCTAAGCAGGTAAGTCTGAAAACATGAACTCAATCTTAAACAGAAACATTGATCTTACCTGGATATCCACCTGTGAAAGAAAACCAGGAAAACTCTACTAATTGTCCTTTTGTTGAATGTAATTGCTATTTGAAAAATCTGCCAAAATTTTAACTACTTTGTCATTTTCAAAGTTAATTAAATACTGACATAGGAGTATCAAGTTGTAAACCCATTTAAATATATGAAGAGGTGGCTTGTGATAGCAAAATATTAATAAACAGCTGGGGAAAATGATCCATTTGAACTTTTAAGTTAATGTTTTAAGCATCCCCATATAAGAGTGAGCTACGGTGAAAAAATCATCAGGTCTGTCCTAGCCGGGTGGCTCCATAGGTAGGAGCATTGTCCTGTACACTGAAAGGTGGTGGGTTTGATTCCTGGTCAGGGCTCATACCTAGGTTGTGGGTTCAATCCCCATCGGGGTGCATATGGAAGGCAACCGATTGATGTTCCTCTCTCTCATGGATATTTCTCTCTCTCTCTCTCCACCATCCTCTCTAAAAATCAATAAAAACATATCCTCAGGTGAGGATTAAAAAATAAATCATCAGGTGTGATGCAATTTCCAGCTTACAGAGAACCTACCCACAGTGCATGGGTCTAAAAACTATTTAAAAGACTTTGAAATAAATCATCTCCATCTCCCTTGATCGATGATTCTAGGGTAAATCGCTTTCCTAAGACCAGAAAGCAACACTCTCAGGTGGTCATTCTGGTGAACAGTCTTCCTACTGGTCGGGAAGAGCGACCCCCCCGGCTTCCTCTTTGGAATACTGGTTTCCAAGTACATGAATGATGAGCTCACCCCTATTCCTATCCTTCCCTTCTTAATGCTCAGCAAGCCCAATTCCTTTACTTTCCCCCCTATGAAAACCCCACTTTTTCACCTAAGCATTTTAATGGCACACCAACTTGGTTGGTCCCAAAGTTTGTGAGGCATCTTGGCTCCCAAAATGACCCCGAGAACACCCAATTCTGGTCACAGAGGGTGTCCATGTGTGGGTTCCACTTCTTCAGGCCTTAGCCAAAGGGAAGGGAGAAAGGCAAAAGGGAGATATAGGGCTTGAGCCCAGAATGGACTTCAGAAGGAGAAATAAGGGGAAAGAATGGATCACGTGAGAAATGAGTTGAAAATATCTACACTAATAAAAGAGAAAGATGTAAATTGACCGTACCTTCACGACACCCACCAGCCAAGCAGGAGTATGCAAATTAACCCAACAAAAATGGCGGGTTAATTTGCATACGGAGGTACCACCCCAGCCGCTCTGGGCCTCTGGGCAGCATGGGAAGGCAGAAAGGTGGCTCCAGCCAGAGCGAAGGCAGTGCCAGCAGCCAGGGAAAGGAAGGCCCATTCTTGCACGAATCTTTGTGCATCGGGCCTCTAGTTAAATAATAAGGCTAGACTATATCCTGAACCTTGAGAAATTCTCTAGCTTATCTCCAAGCTCCAACACCGCCCCCTCCCAAAGTTCAATATGCTGTGACTGCAGAGAGAGCAACTGCATCTCCAGTCTGCCACTTGCCAGAGGACTTAGCAGGTTCATTCCTGGGACTGAAGCCAACGACTGGCATGTCTTCCTGCATGAAGTCACTTGTGGTAGATGACACAGCCCAAGCGCAAGCACTTTAGCAATGCCAAGGCTGCTCATTCCCACGGTGACACGTGACCTTGGAAGAGAAGGGAGAATTTTTCTCTTCTCTAACCAAATCCAGAATTGATTGAAATGTGTTTAAAACCAAGACCCTGAAAATAACCTGCCAACCTGCTGACAAAACATCACAAACAATCTCCTCCCTCCCTTTCTCTCCCCCTCGGCCCAGAAAACTGTTCAAAGGACACGAATATGAGCATCATGAAGAAGAGCATCATGGAACCTTAGAAACTTCCATGCCAGCTGCCATCGGAGGCTGCGTCTGAACACCCTCATTGCCTCCACCTCATTCTCGATTTCAGGACCTGCTTCCTTCTAGCATTTACTAGAATTTACTACAACTTAGTTTTTCGTTTGCTTATTAGATTGCTTCCCACACTATTCATCCATTCACCCAATAACATTTACTGAATGGCATATTATGCTCCACGGTAGGCACTCAATATTCAGCAGAAGATTCGGCATAAAAGAAAGCAAACAAGCAAGTCCCTGTTCTCACCTTCTGCCTGGGAGAGACAATGGACAAATAAATAAAGTGCATCTATTATTTCGGAGCGTTCAGGCTCTGCAGAGGAATGAAGAAGGGACCCGCAGTGTTGGGAGGAAGAGCTGTGATTTTCCATAGACGGTGGGGAAGGCCTTCCGGGGGAAGTGGCATTTCAGCAAGGACCTGAAGGAGGCGCAGGAGCAGCCAGGAATGCAGGTCTTGGGAAGGGGACACAGGGACCCAGTAACATCAAATTTACATCAACCTGCACTGTGGTCAGCACCCCGTATAACCAATGTGTATTGCACACTCATGCTTGCTTTCTCAGGAGAGTGCAGTTTTACTCTTTTACTAGATCAGAAGTTTGCTATTCATTTGTGTTTACTGAGGTTAAGATTTTATGATGTTAAATTACATAAGAAATCTATGCAGCTGTATATATAGGCTTTTTACAAGAAAGAGAAAGAGGGAAACTATTATTAGTGAGCAATTTAAAGGATAAATGTAAACTCCTATTTCATTCCCTTTTCTAAATTAAGGCTTTTAAAGCACATTTTTGAGGTCAAGTTTTGCTCTTTCCACTCTAGAAAAATTTTTAATTCTCATTTTGTCCGTTTTTCTTCTTTCTCTTAAGGGAAAAGATTTTGTCTTCCTTGATTTTTTTCTTCAAACTTCTGCAAAAGAGCAGCTCTCATGAAATGTCATGAAACCACTTTGAAAAATCACTATAAAGAGGAAAGGAAAGCCCCGAACACACTTCCTTTCTAATCCCCGGAGGCCACCGCACACCGGAGCCCACAGGACTGACCTGCGAACGAATCTGGAGGTGATCTTGCTGATGAGGCCGGTGGACGTGCCCCGCCGGGCGTGGGCAAAGGCCCCGCTTTCGTGGGACGGAGACGCGGGGGGCCCAGCGTGGGCGGCGCTGCGCCGCTCCCGGAGCTGCTCCCCGTGGAAGGTGCTGCGGCTGGAGCTGCCGCGGGGAAAGCGGGTCCGGTCTGGGGTGCTGGCACTAATACTGTGGGCAGACGGGGACGCGGCAGGCACTCTCTGGGTGGTCCTGCGGGGACAAGTCACGACGCACTGTTCAGAGTAAAGACCCAGGAAGCTCCCACTCCAAACTAGACAGAACTTGCTATGCCCACTTTTTTTTAAGGGCAATAAGAACTTTTTATTATTATTTCTTTTCTTTTTTTAAGAAATTTAACACCCGGCCAGTGTGGCTCAGTAGTCGAGCTTCAACCCATGAACCAGGAGGTCACGGTTGGATTCCTGGTCAGGACACATGCCTGGGGCTGCAGGCTCTACCCCCCAGTAGGGGGCGTGCAGGAGGCAGCTGATCAATGTTTCTCTCTCATCACCGATGTTTCTCTCTCTCTCTCCCTCTCCCTACCTCTCTCTAACATCAATAAAAACATATTTAAAAAATTATTTAACAAAGAAAATGAAATGCAGCCAGCACATTACCCGGGTCGGTAAGCTTCGGAGCCGTCTTTAATGGTTGGCAGTGTGACTTTGATGGGGTGCCCGGAGGCGGACATGGACTTCTGGTGGCGGGGCCGTGCCGAGGGGACAGCAGGGGCCACGGCGGAGCCGGCAGAAGACAAGCTGCTGGCCGACATCTCCGTGAGGCTTTCCACATGGAACAGAAACACAGAGAAGCGGCAGGTCACTAACATTTAAGAATTACATTTTTTAAAAGTAAACTAACACCTTTCATGACTACAGCACTTAAAAGAAGTTAGCACGAATGGCATGATTAGTGACCGACAAGTCAATGTTCTTGGGAACGATGTATAGGGTGAACTGACCATCACCTTCCATGGGAAATAAGGACCTCACCCACACTTACCCTCCTTCTGTGAGTGATTCGGGGACGGTCTGAAATGATTTTTATGGATAAAATGATTGACTGGGGATATTTTTCCCTTTCCAAAAATCACAGTGTGGTGTGATGTGTTGCTTTGGGTCACTGCCCGTTATACAAAAAGAATTCATAATTATAGCAAAAATACTATTGCTGGAAATACTATTAAAACACTTTCCATTCCTATCATGAATCAATAGGTTAACTGTTGCAGATTAAAGAAACTCCAGATGAGGGCTTAGTACAGGAAAAATAAAAATTCAGATATTAACCCCCAATTATTCTTTTAACCTAAGGGATCTTAAGTCCAAGGAGACCCATTTCTATGACATACAGTGTCTATTAACTGAGAGGAAGCAAATGTAAGAATGGTCTGTGTAGTCCACTGAAATAACTAAGGATGGAACTCAGCACAGAATTTTATTAGAATGAACTCCCCGCCCTTTTGTATTATATTGATGAATAGTTCTGTATTATAACTCATGATGAAAAAAAGCTAAATTTTTTAAATAATAAAAATATGGTTTATCACTATTTAAAACACTGAGAATTGCATGGTTCTCAAGGATCAGCTGAGATGGCCACATTTCTGTATAGAAAGAAAAACCACGCCTTTGGGATTTGGATACGGTTATGACTTGAGGGAGGGGGAAAGGGAAGGAGGAAAGAAGGAAGCAGCAGGCATATAAGAGAATGCGATCCAAATTATGAAGATTGGATTAGAAAAGATTTCAGTGGAAAATTCTCAGGTTAAGAGATTTACCTCCTGTTTTCCCTAAATATTCCCCCTAGTAAGAATGGTTGGCTGTTGCCAGGCCAGCGTGGCTCAGTGGTTGAGTATCAACCTATGAACCAGGAGATCACGGTTCAGTTTCCCAGTCAGGGCACATGCTCCAGTTGCAGGCTCGATCTCCAGTGGGGGGCGTGCAGGAGGCAGCCGACCAATGATTCTCTCTCATGGTTGATGTTTCTCTCGCTCCCTCTCCCTTCCTCTCTGAAATCAATAAAACTATACTGTAAGAAAAAAGAATGACTGGCTGCAATCTTACTATTCTGTATTTCCTTCCCTCTTGACCCATGAGCAGTTGGTTGTAGCACAATGACAGTGGAGCCCCACCCTTCACTGGTGACGAGTATTAAACTGCATAGAAATTATTCTCAGGTAGGCACTGTGATGCTTACCTGCTGTCTTTTCCATTTTGCAGGGCCATGTAGCGGTCTGTGGTCCTTTCACAGACATACGTGTTCCTTCTTGCCATGCTTCCTCCAGCATATACGTTGTTCTTTAAAATGGAAAAGAAAAGCCATTTTAAAATCCTAGCTGCAGTTGTGGAAAGTCAAAGAAATAAATGGAAGCTGCATATGACTCAGAGAACACACACACATACACATGTATGGTCGGATTTTCATTGACCAGAATCTTGTATGAATGAGCCCTATGTCACACCCTCTCTCTCAGGCGGACTGTAGGGGTGAAAGGTGGGGCACACACTCGGCCCAGCTTCAGCTCACCGCCCCAAGGCAGCAGCTGAGCAGTTGTTGGGAAGCAACTGGAAAGCTGAGTTTTTATTCTCATCTGTAAGCTGGGGGTGGGGACAAGGACAGGCGAGCCAAAGCCGGTTTGGCTCAGTGGATGGAGCGTCGGCCTGCGGACTGAAGGGTCCCAGGTTCGATTCCGGTCGGGGGCATGTACCTGGGTTGCGGGCACATCCTTAGTGGGGGATGTGCAGGAGGCAGCTGGTCGGTGTTTCTCTCTCATTGATGTTTCTGACTCTCTGTCTCTCTCCCTTCCTCTCTGTAAAGATATATTTAAAAAAAAAAAAAAAAAAAAGGACAGGCGAGGGGACAAAGGGAGCTTTATGGGACCAGGAATGAGAGACAACTCTACATAAATATTAGCACCAACGGGAAACCCGTGGTAGTGACCATGGCAGGCTGGCCAAGGGTAATGCTAAGGAGAATACAGCTCATGGTCAAAGGCATGCGGGGCGAGCAGTGCCACTCTGAGGATACTTCCTCATTTCAGGTTTGAGCCGGAGGGAAGCCAAGGCTGAGAAGCTCTGGAGAAAAAAGGCCTAAGTAAAAAGGGACCTATTCTCCTCACCGCCCACAGCACCCTGCCCCACCCTTCACAAGTGACTAGTACTGAACTGCATAGAAATTATTCTCAAAAGGGATGAATCCCCTTCTGTGTAATCCTTACTCTAATAGACAAAACTTGCCCTATTTATTTTTGGCCGATCCAGCTTTAAAATACATAATTAGCTTATAATGGGTTTAATCGTGAGGTCTAGCTAGAAAGTTAATAGATATATACTATATATTTTAGTGTTCTTTTCTCTCTCTTTATTCTTTCCTGCTGCCTTACAGGAAAATGTCTCAATCTCTCTTCTAGCTCCCATTATATAATTTCTAATTTGCTGTTTTAAGTGACTGATGTGAGCTAAATTTATAAATACTAACAGAGTCTGCCTTCATCGAACATCTTACTTGTAAACATAAGATTAAATGAGCCAACATAACATGAAGTACATATTACACATGGGGAAATGAGGAGAGTTTAATGTGCCATTCTGTGGTGAGGTTCGGTGTAATGTAAATAAATCATATTCTATCTTTTTGTTCCTCAATTGCATTTATGAGAAGCTTGGCCCTGGCCCTTTTTGCGTGTTCTTGAAACGCACGATTCACTTTAAAATTGTGAAACATTAAAAAAAAATCTTTACACGAAAACTCCTGACAACAGATGACCACCCCAAGCTGCCACAGACCCGACGGTCCACTCACGCTCGGGATAGTGGACGCCTTTTTCCTCTCCGGCCCCACGAGCGGGCTGGTGGTCACCTCGCTCTTCGATCCCACGGTCGTGCTGCCGAGTTTGCGCGCTGCCCCGTCCTTGTCCCACTCGTCTTTCTGCTCACTCTCCACGCTGTTGGCCTGAGGCCTCTTTGTGTACGATACGGCCGCGGAGATGGATGGACCAGCTATAATTAAAAAAAAAAAGCCTAATGAGCTACAAAACAATTGACTTATCTTCTCCTTATGAACAAATACTCTGTGTTAAAAATATCTCTATTTGCATATTTTCACTCTGAAGGAAGATGAAACTGTTTAATTACAAAAATTAGGCCGGTCCCTGCAGAGGGGATGCTATTTGTCATTCACTGACAGAGCCTGCGGTGACAGGGGTGACACAGGCACATGAAGGTGTGAATGTATGATGCCTAGAAAACACGATCTGGATGGAATCGGTCTGTGTGCACTGATTTGACTTTTCCCCCACCATGATCGCTAAAGCGCCGCTGCTTCTGATTGGCCGAGATGCTCCTCTGGACCTTCAGGTGAGCGGGGGACTGGAGGGTGCTGTTGTTTAGGTCACTACTGGGCCGCGACCTCTGACTCAAGTTTCCACTGGATAATGACTCACCGCCTTCAAACTGCAAGAAGAAGAAAGACCACCAGGGTTTCAAAACACTAAAATGTTTATGCAAACGACATGCACTCTGGATTTTTTCTCATCTATTCCAAGCCATACAAGGAGTAGCCAGAACTTAAAAAACAAAAATAATTTGGGTGCAGAACTGCAAGTCGGCAAACAGGAAGGGAAGGAAAAGGCTTTGGAGCCTTAGTTTAGTCAAAACACCAATAATTGCTACCAATCATTGAATGGCAGTTATAGATTGTGCTTAGTTCTTTATATTGGTTACTTTGCTTAATCATTACAAAAAACCCTATGATTTATTAATCTGCACTTTATAGATGGAAAAACTGAGATTAAGAGAGTCAACAGAGCCCAGCTGGGATGGCTCAGTGGTTGAGCGTCAACCTATGAACCAGGAGGTTGGGGTTCGATTCCTGGTCAGGGCACGTGCCCAGGTTGCAGGCTCAATCTCCAGTAGGGGGCGTGCAGGAGGCAGCCAATAGATGATTCTCTCTCATCATTGATGTCTCTCTTTCTCTTTCTCTTTCTCTTTCTCTTTCTCTCTCTCTCCCTCCCTCCCTCCCTCCCTCCCTCCCTCCCTCCCTCCCTCCCTCCCTCCCTCCCTCCCTCTCCCTTCCTCTCTGAAATCAATAAAAAAAATAGATTTTTTAAAAAAGGGTCAAGGGACATCTCTGGATTCAAAGTCAAGATAAAATCTAAAAGTTTAACTTTATACGCACACGTGTGTGCACGGATTTCTTCGTTTTGTTTTCTCCACCACATTTACAGAACCAGGTTTGGTTTATTGGCTCTGATCAAGAAATTGCACCTACGTAGAACTAAGTGAGGTATTGGGGATCGAAACACTACCCCTCTCTCTAACAAAAAAGATGTTTGTTTACTGAATCCCCGGCATCCCAATGGGTATCCTGAACTCATGTGTAAAGATGCCAATGACAAACAATAGGGTGATACTGATGAAATTATAATAGATACCAGCGAACACAGGGCACACAGGTACCGTTGTAAGGACTTCAGAAGCATTAATTCATTTAACCCTCAATGACCCTAAATCAGCCGAATGCACTGCTTCCCTAACAGTTACTATCTAACTACAAATTATTTCAGTCTATTTTATAAAATGCCCCCCACAGATGTCAAGTTTTCAACAAACCTTCAATGTTTTAGGCTTTGTTCTTGACATTCGATTTAACTCTTATATCTGCCGTCCCAAAGGATCATTTGCTTTAAAAGTTCAATCGCCATTTGCATACAGCTACTTCCTAAATCTAGCTCACAATAGATCTGTCCTGGCCTGGAGAATTCCCAATGGGATGCATCAAAGCCACTTAACTTTTTATAAGGTACAATGTCACCAACTTTTTCCTGGGTCCCCACCTATACAAATCATTGAAGACATGATTTACACTTGGTTGTAAATACTGTCACTTCCTCTTATTTTGGTCACTGTCTTTTCTGCACACCCAGAGGTACCATGCTACCTTTGGCGGGGCTGTTGCATTTGGGTGCACAACTCTAGGGGGCGCCATCTCAAAGCCTAGACTGTGAATGGTACCCCTTGGGGCTAAGGCACTAGGCCTGCTTTTTCATAATAGAATCTCTTGGTACTCAGAGATGAAATGGGTTCATAACTTAGCACCTTTTGAGTTTTGAATTCTAACACATAAGAAATGGTAGGGTCTTTATGTTATTTCTGATACCACACAGAATATATCTGCTAACATTATATCTTACTAGAGGCCTGGTGCACGGATTCGTGCACTGGTGGGGTCCCTCAGCCTGCCTGCGGCTCTCCGACATCCCCCGAGGGGTCCCATATTGCAAGAGGGTGCAGGCCAGGCTGAGGGACTCCACAGGTGCACGATCAGGGCTGGGGAGGGACTGAGGAAGGGCTCTAGGGCGTGTCCGGGCTGTCTCGCCCCGTCTTGATCTGCCTGACCCCACAGCAAGCTAACCTACCATTGGGAGCGTCTGCCCCCTGGTGGTCAGTGCGCACCATAGCTACCGGTCAAACAGTCGAATGGTCGCTTAGGCTTTTATATATATAGATACTTAGCCATCACTAGCTCAAAAAATGATTTATATTAATCTAAAAATGTGAAAAACTTACTTCAGGTGGTTTTCTACCTAGAAGAATGTAAGTAGCCATGACTTCATCGTATTTCTGATTTATTAAGGCGTCATTTATCTCATCTCGTGCGAAACCCATGGTGACCATGACATCTGGAAATTTGAAAAAAAAGTGCAAATTTTATGAAAATGGGTTTATTTTAGTAAACAAATGAATAAAAATTGGCCAAGCTTGCCAACATTAGATATGAAAAATAAGTTCTAAAATTTTAAAGTGGAATATCAATTATAAAGACTTCTGGATTATCAACACATGGATACCGTATATTCGGATACTGTATGTTCACAATTTTTCATGCAGAGACTATCTATATCATGGTTACATACGATTGGGCCCATTCCCTTTCTCATTGCCTAGCACATTCCCAAGCTGAATTCTTTTGTCCACCCAGAGACACATTATCTATGTGTGACACACAAAATCCCTTCTCCCTCTGTCTTTCAACACACCCTCAGCCTCCCATGGAGTGGTCTCTCCCATCTCTGAACACTCTCTGCTTTCTGATCTGAAGGCAGGCTGAGTCCTCCTTGGGAGGCTAGAATTCCACAGTTGTCCTGAGCAGAGTCCTAACACCCTAGAATGTTCCTCCCTTTGTCTTTAAGCCAGACAGGAGCACAGCTGAGATGACTCTGTTTTGAGTTCCTAAAGGCTGTGGGAAGGGAGAGAGAAACAAAGAAAACTGTTTGGCAGCAGCTTGGGGCTGGGCAGGGAGGGTGGACGCTGATGAGACATAGAAAACACAAAGCGAGGGGCCCTATTAGCTCAAAGCCTCTGTGTTTTTGGTTGAAATACATGCTATGTTTTGCTGATATCAGTCTGATCAATGCTGAATCAGTCATTCCATCCTGTTAGAAATTGCTGAAAGGAAAGAATGAGATTTATCTACATCATTTTAATTTGTGTTTCACTGTTGCCAACACTTGAATTAGATTATAATATGCACGAGAACAAACTAAGGAACTTGAAATTTGCAGTGCTTGGTGTATATCCGGGGAAAGAAAAGATGATAGAGCAGGTGTTTTTCAAATAAAAATGGCTTTCTATTTATATTGTTAAATGCTATTCTGGTAGACGGAAGGACCCTTACTTACAGCCTGGGGTCAACACCTCTCACAGCATTTAAATACTTACCTATCCTTTTTGTGTCATTGAAATCTGGTTCAGGCTCAGTATATGGCTTTAGTTCTTCTTCTTCGTGACCAACATTCATCCACCGATCTTTCATTATTTGCTAGGAAATAATTTCTACATTACGTTTGGCCAACCAGAACATTCAACCACTTCAAAATGAGAGACAATAAGTCAAACAGGATTCCAAACTTAACAAAAGAAAGTTTACTTCAGCTACCACTGCCTATAGACAAAAAAATGACTGCTTGCTGGGACATTCTAACAAATTAATTCATGCAGATGAATGATGAGGAAGTAAGCAAATGAGCAATGGAAATACACAACTTACACTTAGGTGTACAGAGAAAAGAGATGGACTTTGGAATGGCCAGATGGAAATAACTTTTCTTAAATGGGTTCCACTTTTTAAAGCCCATCATGTGCTCCTGAGTTTAGATTTTCCTTTTTTAAGAAGAGGTTATTAGTAGTAGGAGGAGGAATGGCAGTACCATCACTGGTACTAGCCAGACATCAGTAAGATGCTTAAGATTATCTGAGCTACAGCTAAAAAGGTGTTAAAATACTTTTTGAGAATTACCAAAGAGGACAGAAAAAGGGCAAAAAGGAGGAGTCTTGCTTTTGCTCAAATTTTGCATCGTTTTGAAAGGTAACACAGTTCATCCTAGTTCAAGACTGGAAAGAGATGGAATCGCCCAGAAGTTTTTCAGTTTCTCTCTAATAAAAAACCTAGACACATAAAAAGTCAGATAACCAGGATATAAAAATAAAAACAAGTTAAACCTGGAGCACAAAAACGACTTACTTCCAAGCTGCCTCTTTTAATGGGATTCAGCACTAATAATTTCTTCAGAAGGTTTTCACAGTCGGTGGACATATAGAAGGGGATGCGGTATTTCCCGCGTAAGACTCGCTCCCGAAGTTCCTGAACAAACAAAAGAAAGCACTGAGGACTGGCGTTTGCCAGGACCCTGCGTGGGGGTAGCACGTGAACGTCAAAGTCAGCCGATACCTTCAGATTCTGGCCGTCAAACGGCAGGGAGCCGCTGACCAGCGTGTAGAGAATGACGCCCAGGCTCCACACGTCCACCTCGGGCCCGTCGTACTTCTTCCCCTGGAAGAGCTCGGGAGCGGCGTAGGGGGGACTTCCGCAAAATGTGTCCAATTTGTTCCCGACTGTAAACTCGTTACTAAAACCAAAGTCAGCAATTTTAATATTCATGTCAGCATCAAGGAGAAGGTTTTCAGCCTAAGAGGAAAATAATAAAAAGGACAATGTAAAGAGCCTACATAACACCACACGGCCATTATCACTCTTCCAGATCCCAGACCTGTCTCTCCTGCCTCGCGTTTTCCGAGGTAACAGCTAATGGAGAAGCCCAGCAGGTAGGCGGGTGCGTACCTGCTCCCAATTCCATCTACAGAGGCTGCATTTTAGCACCATACAAGGAGAGCTCTCATTTTTATGCTTATCTGCAGCTGTTTAAAACCCTTTTTTTCCTTCAAGATAATATCCTAGAACTGTATTTTTTTTTAATTTTTGTATTGATTTCAGAGAGGAAGGGAGAGGGAGAGATATAAACATCAATGATGAGAGAGAATCACTGATTGACTGCCTCCTGCTCGCCCCTAACGGGGATTGAGCCCACAATCCAGGCATGTGCCCTTGACCTGAATCAAACCCGGGACCCTTCAGTCCGCAGGCTGACACTCTATCCACTGAGCCAAACCAGCTAGGGCAAGGAACTGTATATTAATATGACCTAGTCAAAAGAACATTCATCAAATAACACTGATCTGTTTTGGGCTTAAACCAACAAGTTTACCCAACCGCACTCTACTTCAATAGAGGACCACTGGTTAACACAAGGCTAATACCTACAGTAACTGCCAATCAGGGCTTCTGTGACTACTGAGCTCAATCCATTGCCCTCTGAGAGCATGCTTCCTCCACAGAGTTCTGTTCTCTCAGTAAAACAGTACAATGCAATACAGACTCCATTACAGCGTGTCTGCTTTAAGCTTCCTTTTGCTGTTTGACAACTAGATTCTCTTCTGGAGGTATATTATGGCAGAAAGTAGTGATTCTCCCCGCAACCCTAGCCTCCCAATGTTTGAGATACTGGTTTTCCAAAATCCTAAATCAGAATCACTCAAAGAAAAAGTTTTAAATGTGTCTTTGAGCTTTAATGTAAAGAATGAGAACTGACTCATATCAGACTAACCTGAATTTGTGCCCACACCTTACTTCTGACTGAACTGGACTTTAGACATTTTTAGTTTGGGACAAAGTTCACATTTATCTATAAAACAAGCTTATTCATGGCGAATCAAATCCTCTAGCCTTTAATGCTAGCTGACCACTCATATCTTTTCTTTATTTTCTCAGTGACAATATTGCCTCTCATAAAATTGCTGTGAAGATTAAATAAAAACTAATTTCTTTGTATAGTGCCGGGTACAATGAGGCAACCAAACATAGCTCTATTATTATAAACCATCCATTAATAATTAAAATTTTTATGTTATAAAATCAGGGCTTACCTTAAGATCACGGTGAACAATGCACTTTTGATGACAATACTGTACAGCGGACACAATCTGAAATGAATATTTGGATAAAAGATTAAAAAATTATTTTATGGTAAAAAAAAATCACAATTTCCCCCAATTATCACCTCCAATTTAGATTACTAGCTTAAATTTCAAAGTAACATTTAATAATCTCAATGTTCCTTTAGTTCAGAAAACTATACATATGAAAGTTAGAGGGGTGAAACTCACCCTTAAACGTAGAAAATACTGAAAAGTATTGCTAAAATATTTTTGTCTGAGTTGTGAAGATTTTTATGGGTTGTTATATTTCTCTGTTTACATGATCAAATGTGTACAATTGATAGTTTGGGTCAAATGGTTTATTTATTCGAGTGTTGTAATAAGAGCTCTGGCAAACATGAAGCAGTATTCCAAGATAGTTGGTTCAAGTTCAAAAAGCAAAACTCTATTTTAGGAATTATATCAAATGTGTTCAACACATGTTTCTTCAGTGAGGACAACTGACTAAGAACTTACCCCGTGGGGTATTTAGCAACATCCTTTGTGTTCATGTACAAAGAAATGTGAGAAATGTACCTTAAAAATAAACCCAATTATCAAAAGAAAAGACTAAAAAGGGAAATTTAATCTTAAACTTGTCACTAATTCAGGTGGGCTAAATACTCTACACTGTAACTAGATTTTGTATGCAGTGAAGATTTTCAACCATTACATAGGGCTCTCTGGGGACAAGGTCTAAACAGGGAGGAACCCAACAGATTAAGAGCCAGAGAAACAAATGATAAATCGGTTATAGCAATTCTTTCATAGTTTTTACTACATTTTTTTAAAATATATTTTATTGATTTTTTACAGAGAGGAAGGGAGAGAGATAGAGAGCTAGAAACATCGATGACAGAGAAACATCGATCAGCTGCCTCCTGCACATCTCCCACCGGGGATGTGCCCGCAACCCAGGTACATGCCCTTGACCGGAATCGAACCTGGGACCTTTCAGTCCGCAGGCCGACGCTCTATCCACTGAGCTAAACCGGTTTCGGCAGTTTTTACTACATTAAATACAGAATTGGAAAGATTCTGATAGCAATCACGTAAGCATGTTTTTATTGATTTTTTTTTTGAGAGACAAAGAGGAACATGGATGTGATAGAGAATCATTGATCGGTTGCCTCCTGCACACAGGATCAAACCACAACCTGGGTATGTGCCCTGACCGGAACTGAACCAGCAACCTTTTGATGCGTGGGATGACACTCATCCAACTAAGCCACCCCAACCCGGACTAAGAGCTATTTTGTACATATAGTTATATCTGCTGTCTAGGAGGACAACCGTTGTAATACACAGCAGAATATTCAATTCTGTGGATTCAGGTAAATGTAAACACAGTCTGAATGCTGAATATTGGTTAGGCACTTACAAATGGAGATAGCAATGAGATTTCTGAAAGGCTAAAGGTGATGTGAAGTATGACCATGCTAACAGGAATATGGGTTAAAAAAAACCAACAACTTCTAAGTAATAGATGTGAAACTGATGGTTCAGTATTCTAAAGTTATCCTGATGTATATTAAAATGGTTCAAAGACAGAGAAGACATGAATTCAAAACAAAACCAACACACAATGAGCAATATGTAGTTCAATTAAATTTATTTTGAGCCAATAGTCAGTTTATTGAGTACCTACTATGTGCAAGAAAATGTGCTAGGGAAACACAAAAATTAACACTGCATGGATCCTGCCCTTACGTAGCTGGCAGACTGATTAGGAGTAGAAAACATGTATACAGGTAACCATAAAACAAGGCAGAATCATAGAAGAAGAAGTACAAAGAAGTGAGGAAATCCTAAAAAATAAAGAATCATTGGGAATGTCTCCTGGAGTTGGTGATAACTGAGCGAGGCCATCCTTGAAGGGCAGCAATATTTTAGAACGTGGAGACTTGGTGATGAGGGGAGGCTGGTAAGGGGCTGAAATGCACACTCTTTGAAAAGTTGGGGGGAAATGGTCCTACTACACCTTGGTTAGTTCCAAACTAAGCAGGTCCTACGTAACCACTGTATGTTTTCTGAGCGGAAAGATGACGACGGAGAATGATCACTTTGAAGCATGAGTCCCTCAAATAGAGCAGAACCTGACAATGAATATTTGTAGCATGTTCTCTTAAGCAATCTGTTTCAAAATTCTAATATCCAATGTTCACGGATATATGTTGATTAGCCAAGAGATCTGCACATTCATATGTAGATATTAGTAAATCTTACTGAACATAATACATGGGCTGTAGTATGTTCATGCTATAAGGCTATACTTGTATCATGGATGACAGAAATGTGCTAATAATGATTATTATCTTTTTCGAGTCCCTATGTCTTGACACAGTGAAGGAGGCACGCTATAGATAATGACTTGGTTACCACACATGCACGTCATATTAGACAGAACAATCTCCAGGTTCTATAGGCACTTCTGAAATAAAAATCCCCTGGGCCTTAACACATTCGGAACGGAAAGATAATTAAAGAGAATGTTCCATGTTCATTCTCCCCAAACTCTTTGACCTCTGACCTCTAGCAGTCAAACATGGTGGTTTAGAGTATTCACCACACTCATCTAGCCAGGTACAATTTCTGATGTGAAAGAAATTCTGGCTTCAGACTCACTGCAAGAACCCCACCCACAAGTCCAGACCCTCCCATCTCAAAACATCCATAAATGGGATGCAGGGATTTCTTTACGGTTCTTCTGCTATAGATCATGCAAACATGAATTATTTTTTTAATATATTTTATTGATTTTTTACAGAGAAGAAGGGAGAGGGATAGAGAGTTAGAAACATTGGTGAGAGAGAAACATCGATCAGCTGCCTCCTGCACACCTCCCACTGGGGATGTGCCCGCAACCAAGGTACATGCCCTTGACCAGAATCGAACCTGGGACCCTTCAGTCTTTCAGGCCGACGCTCTATCCACTGAGCCAAACCGGCCAGGGCTAAACATGAATTATTGTCAGCCCTGCACTGCTCCTAAGACCAGGCACGGAAGTGTTTTGCTGTGAGATGCAACTGCTAGGGTCACTTTGCAATTAGTTATTAAGTGGGTCAGGAATTCCTAAGCTTTAGTCGCCTTCGTATCGGAAGAGCTGAGTCAATGCTATAATTTTCTTGCAGGCCATCAAATCCTAAGGAATGCAGAGGCATTATCTGACCAATGTTTGCTCAAGTGGCCTTGTGCAGGGTCTTTGCTATATCCAACTGTAGAATCAAGGGCATATACAGAGTTGGAAAAATCAGGTTTACAGTTGTGAGCTTATTCTTAATTCTTGTATTAATTAATTCTTGTATTATTCTTGATTAATTATTGTATTACTTATTTGTATTACACCTGAAAACCTACTTTTGCCCACCCCTGTATAAACGGTTGGAGAAGTCCTAAAGAAAAGGGGCAGAAAAAAACTTGTTTAGCTTTAAAAAAATATTTATGTTTTTATTGATTTTAGAGAGAGAGGAAAGAAGAGGGAGAGAGAGAAACATCGATGGATCAGTTGCCTCCTACACACCCTCTTCTGGGAATTGAGCCCACAATCCAATTTCAGTGAACATCAGATATTAGAATTTTGAAGCAGATTGCTTAAGAAAACATGCTACAGATATTCACTGTCAGGTTCTGCTGTATTTGGGAGACTCACGCTTCAAAGTGATCCTTCTCCGTCATCATCCTTCTGCCCAGAAAACATGTAATGGTTACACATGCATGCGCCCTGACCAGGAGGTGAACAGAACCCTGTTAACTTTTTGGTTCAGCATGCTCCACATTGATCACTGAGTGAGGTGGTTTTGTGAAACCTCTGTTGTTACATGACTATTTGGAACACAACGTGCAAAATGCTTTCTGCATTTTAAACTGTTTTAAAAACAATTTACACTTTATTAATGTGTCATGTCTATAGTGATTTATATAGTATACTACTTTAATCCCTTTATTCTTAAAAATTAAATCTTAGATCAACTTAAATTACTTTTTCTTATTTTTGTCATTTCTGTAACAAGTCATATTCAGAAAATGCAACTATCTTACCACATTCTTCGGCCATATTTGCAAGGTTCCTTGCCTACCTGACTAAATAAAATTGACCGTATCTTTAAATCTATAAAATATGAGTTCTAATACCAAGACATCTTTAATTATAAAAGAAAATAATACTAACACCTCTTTAAACAGTACACATCTATACTGTATACATAGAGCTAATAACACTTGACAATAATTATTGGATAAAGGACTAAGTATTTCTTTTCTATCTCAGTCTAGTCTCTATTTCCAAGACTATCAAAGAGTTAATGTGTCTCACTTATTAGCATTTCACTATTTGTGATCATCTATAAGTAACCATTTGCAACTCTCTGAAATTTAAATTCAGGAAGAACAGATTGCTTTTTCAGTTTTCCATTCATAAAAAGTGTTAGAAAGCAAGACTTTTTCTTGTTAAAAAACCACATACCCTGAAGTCCAGTTTATGACACTGTCCATTGTACATCACTAAAAAGAGCAGCAAGACAAAGTTGAAAACTGCTTTGCGTACCTGCCTAAATTTTGCACGGGCCTCTTTTTCTTTCATTCTTCCATGGGCAACTAAGTAATCAAATACTTCACCTGAATCGGAAAGGTAAAGCAGGCAGTAAAATACACATAAGATTTTCAATGAACAACATATGCAATGTCAAGTTTGTGGCTTGTGTCTAAAGAAGCTTCGGGCCCCCAATTTTCTGAAAGTTCTACGTAAATCACAAACTCTTCCATGAATAAAAAAAAGGGGGGGATTACATATAGAATTGAGTATCTGTAGCAGCTGACGGTTTAGCAAAACTCTTTAAAGAACAAGTCATAAAAACATAACCAAGAAAAACTTGCTTTCTGCTTGTCAAGTCTTATGTAGAAGAATACAGTCAACTCTTTATTATCTGTTCTAATAAAGGGAACGGGCAGCACGGGCAATCAAATCACATTTGGCTTTGTATTTGGGGCCTACATTTCAAATAAAATAAGTCTTTTTATGTTGGATCTCTCTCTTTAAATTCATGAAGCCTTGGTCAAAGTCCATCTCACTATCGCCACACACACTGATTTCTTTCTTTTCCTTCCTATATTCTGGTTATGCCATACTCATTCCATCTATTTTGTACCTACTTATTACACAGAATTAAATCATCCTTTTGTGCATCTCCTATTACCCTAAATGAGCTTCAGACTACTTGAGCACCATCGTCATAGCCATACTTTCTTTGTATCCCCAGCTTCATGACAGAACACAAAGAGGATAGACAATACACACCTGTTGAAATAATTTAAAGACAACTAGAAAGTGTAGAGATTTTCTCTTAGCTCTATCACTTGATGTGTTTGTGACTTTATTTTTTTCTACTCAATAACAGTAAAAGAAAAACCTCAGTATTTAGTTACAATATTTAAAATAAAATATCTCCGTATAAAGAAGAAATTATTTTTGTGTCCTTTTAATTATAATTTATACCATATAGATATAGATGCATATTAAAAACTCACACAATAGCTTAAAGAGTTCTTATAAACTACAGCAAAGTGGTTAAAACTTAGACTTCAGAATCAGACCAATTTTGGTATGAATCTTGGTTTGGCCCCAAAGTAGCTATTGGGTGACTTCCTTAAGACCCAGTTTCTATCTATTGCCTATCTCACATGGCTTTTGTGAGGATTAAATGAAATAATGCATGTGCTTAGCACAGTGACTGGCATACAGTAAGCACTCAATAAATTACAGGTTTATATCTAGGTATACAGATATATTACATATACATGTATATGCAATATCAATCCTAGGATGTGAGTGAAATATTAAAAATCAAATATGTAATGGTGTACGTCAGATGAAACTAAGTCATCTACAATGTCAGGCAGCATATTACTTAAATGATTAAATGGGATGATGAAAACAGAGAAATGAATGAATGCTCTAGTTGACCCATCATAGGTAATTCTAGATACATGAGTTGAGGCTGGGAAAGATACATACAAGAGTTCAAAACTTGGGACTACTCTTAGTTCTGCCTGGAACACTAAGGCCCCAAATGTTGGCATGGCTCAGTCCTTCGCTTATTATATTGTTTGTTTATGGTTTGCTTCCCCAACTAGAATGTAATCTTGAGGGCAGGGACTTAGTCTTTGCTCACCCATGTGTCCGCAGCACCCAGAATATTACCTAATACGTAGTCAACATTTAATCAATGTTGTTTGTGTGAGGGAAAGGAGGAATAAACACACCATCCCAGAGCAGCCCTGACACCTACTTTTAATAGGCTCTTTTGGACCAAATCGTAAGGGAGTTCCCTGCCTTCCCATCACTGGAAATTTTTTGTCCCATTAGGGAACCAAAATCAACTGATCTACTCGTGGCCAAGAGGCAGCTGTCTGACCACACTCTTCTTGTCCATGTTAGATTTCTGTGTGCATGTCAGACTCAATCCTAAAATATCTGGACATTTCAGCGGAAAATATGAAGAGTTGTATTTTCCAGAGGAGCTTTGCCATTTATAGATCAAAAGGGCAAGAAAAGGATTCTAGATTTACTGCCAGGACCATGATGGTTTTGTTATAAGATTGCTGACTGGCAAGACCGAAGAAAATCGAGCCCTAGGAATGAGAACTGAATGAGGGACCACTTGGTTGGGGCTGAACTCCAGTACATCGTCTCTACACCACACCACCCCTCCAACTGTGCTCCCCATCACCCCAGCCATCGGTCCCCTTCATTAGCACCAATAGAGAGTTGACTGTACTTACCATTCATTGTTAACACAGTATATATATTAATGCCACTAGTGTTTAAAACAGAATGATGTTCACAGATTTTTAGCAGTCTATAATTTCTCCTATCAAAGCATGTTTAGCCCCTATTTTTGGACTTTAGATGACTAAAAAGAAAAAAAAAAGGTCTAACAACTAAAAATAATTCTCAGGGTTCCCACGCTGACAAAATGTTATATAAATCTAACTGAAGGATGGAAAAATAGAGTAATAGTTCGTTATGTGTTTTTTATAGGTTTGTTAATTTTATTGTAGACCTTCACTTTATGCAAATTTGCATGGCAGAATAACTGTTTAAAATCCAAAAATAATAAAACATTAATAACATTGGTTTTCCAGGTAAAGTAAAAAAATCTACACTGAAATATCTTCAGGATGGAAAAAAAGCTTTGTAAACAACCAAATCTATTAAAACTTTCAATCTCCATAAAAACACTGAAAATGCAATTAAAATATATTTAATATTTGCAGTAAAAAATTTTGAAATCTAAGACACAGTATAAAAATACATAATTTAGATGTTTTATAAACTAGAATTAATCCTCTTTGTTCTAGCTACATAAAATCTGAATCACCAGGAAAATCTATGTACTTTATCAGCTAAAAGGACTCAACACTGGTTTTCTATTGATTAGCAAAAGAGTTAATTAGCTAAAGTGCTTTAAATACTTAGAGATGCCCTCCCTCTTCTTCAATTTTCTGAGCTCTTAAAACCTTCAAGTATTCCTTTTCTACTTATTGAATGATTTACTCCATACACTTTAAACCTGTTTCTGAGTCCTACGAGTCCTACGCCTAACAGAACTGAGGTTTTCAGCCAGCGTATTTCTCACATGAGGGAAAGGCAGACGATATATATCTGTGTTTAAAAATCATTCCTATACCTTCTGGTATACCTATGTAGTCAAAATACACTTTACATTCTACTACAAATGCATCTTACTATTTCCCTGTCAATTCAACCTTTCAGCTTTTAGAATATATAGATCAATACTTGTTTAAATTCAAACATTTTATGGATTATTTTGAAAATGAACATATACTAAGAATCTTTCATATGTGAACAATCAGAGAAATAAACATTTGGCCTAGAATATTCTTTTGCCATAGTCTTTATTAAACACATTCTGAATTTGAGATTTCCAGCTTCTAGTCATCATAATAACATGACATATAATAATACTATTTAGATAAGAGAATCAAATCATTCATAGATAACAATGCCAATTTAGTTTTAAAAATGTCCCTAAGTAATTTTAAAATGAGCCCCAAATCCAACTTTTAACTGTAGGGTCAACAGGTCAGCAAACACTGAATTTTCCTTAAGGTATCATATAAGGGCATTTTAATAAAACTGTAAGTTCATTAACAGCAATAAAGACATAATCTTGAGGTGTGGACAATCCTATGTCTCACCAAAGAGAACTTTTCAAGCCCACATCCTTACCCCCACTTGCGTATTCCATGACTAGATAGAGGGTCTTCTCTGTTTCAATAACTTCAAACAATTTTACTGGAAAAGAAATTAGAAATATACCTCTGTAATTGTTAGCATGTATTGGTTATATTTTTAAAAAAAACATGTTTTAATTGATTTAGAGAGAGGAAGGGAGGAGAGATAGAAACATCGATGAGAGAGAAACATCAATCAGCTGCCTCTTGCACGCCCCTACTGGGGATTGAGCCCGCAACCCGAGCATGTGCCCTGACTGAGAATCAAACCAGCTACCTCCTGGTTCATGGGTCTATGCTCAATCTCTGAGTCACAATGGCGTGGCTGGGTATGTTTTAATGAAATGAAAGGTAACACTAAGCCAGTGGAAAATTTGAATATTTATTAAAGAATATTAATTACAATTTTAAAATTTAAAATTCTCTTAAGGATTATTACACTTGTGGAAGAACACTACTTACCATAAAGTGATTGGGAACTAGCTGCTAGGTCAAAAGAAAGTTAAGTTTCTGGCATTAAAGAACCATTACCTTTTCTAATCAGAATAAGGTAATGAAAGGAAAAATCTTGAAATCATAATAAAAATTTTTTTACAATAATAAATTTTAAATAAAGCTTTAAAAGATACTATGTTATAATGGGCCTATCATAAAACATTAAATAATCTTTAGTACAGAAACAAGAAAAATTCTATAAATATGTGATACTATAAAAGTTTATGGTTAAAAAACTACTAAATTATCAGATTTATGTAGTTGAAATTACACACCACGAATAATCATATGAATATTTTTAGTAAACATAAGATTTTTAAATGTGCAAGAAACAAGTGTTTTAAACACAGATTAAAAAAAGAATTGCTTTCTACTTCTTAAAATCTAGTAACTTCATGTAATACATGCAATCAATACACTTATTTGTAAATATAGGGGAAACCCAGAATTTATAGAAATAAATCCATTAAAATTGAAACCAGCTCTAGTTTTTAATTCAAATTAATTATTTTGCCTGTAAACTATGAGAAAGCTATAATGAGTATTATCAAATTATTTGGAATTTATTTTTATAAATATCTAAATGGCATGCAATCTCTCTTGAGGAAGACTGAGTACAGAGATACAAAAACAACGTGTACTGTATATGGATCAACCCCAAGTCATATCCCTCATTTTAGGGGAAAGCAGAAGACAGCAAGGTAGTAACAAGCAGTAGCCTTCAGCTAACTTCTTTATAATCTATTTTTACCCAAAGTATCACTTTCTCAGGTCACTCTCAGGTTTCTAGTTATCATCTTTCTTCTATTTATATAAAACATCCTTAAAATTGTATCTTTGCAAATAACACTCAAATGAAAGAAAACACTTCATTATTCATGTATAAATTTCATACCTATGTTAGGGTGATTCAATATCTTCATTATTCGTACTTCTCGAAACAACTGTCAAAGAAAACAGGCAAACACACTCCTGTTAGAAAAGAACACTCAAGCGGAGAATCAAAGAAACGCATCTGCTTACAACACACCACAGGATCCTGGTAATGAACTAAGAAGCCATTTGTTTCTCATCCCATCTCTAACTCTGCTGAGACTTGGTTTCCAGGACAACTTTTATTTATTTTTTAATCCTTACCCAAGGATATTTTTTCCATTGACTTTGAGAGAGTGGGAGGGTGGGGGGTGAGACAGAGAAAGAGAAACACCCATGAGAGAGACACATTAATTGGCTGCCTCCTGCATGTGCTCCGACCGGGGCTGGGGATTGAACCTGCTACCCGGGTACATGCCCTTGACCAGGAATCGAACCCGTGACCCTTCAGTGCATGGGCCAATGCTCTATCCATGGAGCAACAACAGTCAGGGCACAGACCCAAATTTTTAATTTAATGTTAGAATCAGCAGGTGTAATTAAATACACCATATTAAACATTTCTTATAAGATTCTGTTTTAGGAATCCAAAGTCATTTATGTAACATTTACTAGTACATATATGACTGTGATCCCTATATATTCAAATAAAAATCACAACGGATATGATCACTATACAAAATGAATATATATATGGCAGAAATGTTAAAATATCTGCTTCGTTTTTAAAGTATGCATTTTTAAAATGTGCATCTGAGCAAGTTTTCCCACATAAGCAAGTAATAAAGCAACATGAAACAGCTACCAGGTTCACAGGGCAATCCCCATCCTAACTGCTTTTTATCTCCCCCCCCGCCCCCGTTTTCTTATATTTCCACTTTTTAAAGAAATGTTTGTATCTTTTCCTGTAAGTTAGCAGAAACACTAGTTCTTGTAGAAGAAGGAAGAAAAGCAAGTGAAGCTATAAAAGGAAACCCACTTATGGAGAATATTAACTCATCCATAGATGTTTAATGAAGCAGAATCCTGAATACTTCGAATATTTTAAGCCAAGTTTTATTCTACTGAATTAAATACATTACTTCCTTTCATATGGTACATGCATTTGAGTAGATATTTTTCAAACAACTACTTCAAAAATATTATTTAAATATAAATGTTTTACATCATGTCTTTTCTTCATAGATTAATGAAATGCAATATCGTACCTAGTTGAAAATTTAGGATACCTGGCTTTACAGAACTCATATATTAGGAAACTCACATTCTAATTATTTACTATTAAAATAATTACAGACCTTTTGTAGACTGGTAGGATTTAGCTGAGTTTTATCTATTATTTTCACAGCAACCTAAAAAAGAGAATCATTAAACTGTATTTGAGAATACATATTTTAATGAATAAAATCTTAGAAAGAAAACATCTGTTCTTTCATTTCTAACTAGAAATAATTTAGCGTTCACATAATTGGATGGCAAAGTTTTGATAATTTGGCAGCCTTAGAATATATACCATTGACCCACATCTTTAACCCATTTGATTCTGAGTCAATGAAATTACACTTGCGTTATTACTTCCAAGTTTCCTCTTTAAAAATAAAAATAATCTACATCTTAATCTTTTACTCATGATCTTGGTAAGTTACAAATATCAGGGGGAGGGGCTTATAAACTTTCAGTAACGTAAGTACTATGTGAATAAAATGACGAGGTGGGTAGAGAAAATGGCCGCCCAAGCTTAGTTACAGCAGACCAGCAAAGTGGATCTGAATGTCCTCTAAGTCTCTGCCTAATACAGAATGTACTTGAACAGCTCATGGGTCAGAATGGACAGGGAGGACTAAATTCAACTGCAAGTGACAATAATATTAGGCATAGAGCAAAATCAAAACTTATCAAAAACATTTTATGACTGAAATTCCTCACAATGTCCTAATTGGATCCAGTAAATATTATGTTATGTAGAATGTTAGATGTTTAACTGTTTTCAATCTTGAACATAGAAATTACTAAAGACATTAATATTAACAATAATTATTAAATATATACATTTTTGCTATATAAATACACATAATTTAAGCACATGGGATTTTAGAAACCCAATTTTCTTATAAAACATCTGTATCACAACACTTGTTTAATGTGGTCTCTAAGTAGGTAAACATGAGTGAGTTGCTTTCTACACATTTATACCTAATCTATAATAATAAAAGCGTAATATTCTAATTAGACCAGACGTCCTTCCAGATGTCCTTCCTTCCGGACAAAGCCACGGCAGGCGGGGGCCGAGGCAGAGATGGCCATCACGGCGGCAGGGGCCAAAGCCTTGCATGAATTTTGTGCATCAGGCTTCTAGAGTTTAATAAAATACTTTATCCTAGCCTTGTTCCTAAGGTTGAGTAGCAATCTGAAGTATTTACAGAAACCACTAATGAAAGAAGTCTGAGAAAAGTTCATTTGCATCAGACTCCATCTCTGAGATGCTAAAATGTAGGAATGATTCTTTTCTAAACATTAAAGGTCAACTTTTCATGCAATGATACAGCTCTACTCGGCACATTCCATTCACACATATCCCATATCACAACTGTCATGAATTCCCAGCATCAGCTTCGGGAACACTTTTCAACAAGACTTCGGAGAGGTAAATGTTCGAATCCAAGTAAATATTAAAAGGCATCTTGAAAACTTACCTCTCTCCCAGTTAGAACATGCCTTGCCAATTTCACTTTGGCAAAGTTCCCCTTCCCTATTGTTTTTTGTAAACGGTAATTCCCAATGTGAGGCTGTTCGTCTGCTGCGGACGTAATGGAGTTTCTACACCGAGGGATGTTCTGTCTGCTACTCGATTTGGTAGGCTGGATGTGTGGTTCAGTATATCCATCCACAGATGTATGCTAAGAAAAAGGTTGCAAGATGTCAATGCTAATTCAATTATAAAAGGGCAGTTTAAAACACTGGGAATAATTTTCATTAATGACTCATCTTCAATGAAAATACATCGCACTACACAATTTTAAAGTTTGGGTTCTATTTATAATTTCTATTGCGCTTGAGCTCCTTTTGCCAGAGGGAATATAACTATTTAAAATGAAATGTTCTGCTCAGCTTCAGGCATATGCTTATGATTTAAAAATACAAATGGTATGTAGATAGGAGCCCCACCGGCCATTACTCCTCTAAGAGTGTTATTTGTTTAGTTGAAATGACATCATAGTCTAGAACTGCTTTATTAAAAAGCCTTTCATGCCAAGACAAACAACCTCATGAGCATGGTTCTATTTCTCGAAACTTGTCATGTTCACACTTTCATTTGCTGGGTGTAGAACTCAGCCAACTGACCAATCAGCTCCGAACTTCTGGTATACCTCTAATCAATTCTTGCCCGATTCCCTGCTCAGCTTACCATGCCCAAGCAAGAACTACAGAAAGCCCTGCTTGCCTCCAGGACCTAGTAGCCACTTCATTCATCCTCAGTGCTGTTCTTGAAGCAAAGATGTCACCTTGTCTCACACTAGCCTACAACTGCAATGAAGAGCAGACCTTGTTCACCTGCAAGTTCTGCACGTGAGGGTCCAGGTAGAGCTGCCTAACAAACGCTTTTCACCAGCTCCCATTGTTCCTGCCCTTGTCTAGTTTTGTCTACATTCCTACACATATAAAATTCCTAGCTGTTTTTGTGAAAACACTGAATCACAAATAAACACAACATCTTTTCCCCATTAGCTTCTTAAAAATAGCTGAAGACGAGCAGGACAAATTAGCAAAAGAAGGGGATATCTTTTATTTGTAAAGTAAGTCACACTTATGTTGTCCTGCCTACGTGATGAAAACTTGTCTAAAAATTTTTGATCAGAAATCTCTTAAAGGCAACCTTAAAGATGACTCCATTTGCCAGTCTCATGCAAAGCCTGACTCAAGGTTAGTCATTTTTATGTTACTACTTTCTGATTTTTAAAACACTCGGCTCAAAATTAAATCAGGTATACAACCAGAAGGCCAAGTTAACTCCATACAAAAACAAAACAAAACAAAAAAACACATAAAACAATTTATCATCTCAATTTGAAAAACACAGAGTAGCACTGAGTGATAAGCCATAAAACAGAAACGAGAAGAGAATATTCTATCAACACTCATTCAACATTATGATTGTGCAAGATAGACCAGCCATGCTTTTTAAGATTTATATATATATATCATCTTTTCACCACTGGCATAAATATAAGCCTAGAAAATGCAAGTAAATCAATATAATCTCTTGGAAGCACTACTTGACTTTAACAGAGTTACAAGAGAGAGGAAACATCCTTAATAATCAATTACATTCGGAAAGAATCCTTTGGTGAACTCTTAATTCAGCTTAGACATTACAGCCCAGGAAAAGCCATCCATCATATCAGAGCTTCTGTTCCTCTTTCAACTCAGCTGGGTTCAGTGCCCATTTCTGGTCTTTCTATAGTTATTTCTAGCAATTCATAGCCCCCGATTATTAAATTAATTTTTATTAAAATGACATATGCACAGGGTCAAACATGTCCAGTAACTCTCATAGGCTACTATCAAAAACTACCAGTCTCCTGTACCACCCTTCCAGACCTCATGCCTGCTCCCCAGAGCCATTTCTTTTAGCCTTCTCTTCTCATATTTGATAATTCTTGGTTCATCGGTCTTGGACATCCTCTCAATTTCCTACTATGGCTAATTATGATCTTTTATAGCCCTCAGCCCCACTTCTCCTCTTCCTAATGTAATGTAATCAAATTTTCAGTTAAAAACTATTGTTTATATAATTATGACTTATAAATACTAACTCACTGAAAGCCAAGTAGTATAGTGTAATGCTTCTATTAAACTTTGTTTGTCAGCTTCATTGTGGTATAAATAACACATAATGAAATTCACCACATTTCTGTATAAAAGATGAGCTGTGACAAATGTATAAAGTCACGAAACATGACTACAATGTAAGTATGTAAAACATTTCATGTCAAAAAGTTCCCTGTGCCCCATTGCTGTCAATGCCCCCCTCTCTGATACCACACTTTTGCTTTTCTAGAACATTAGGTGAAGAGATCACACCACAAAGAGTTGACCCTGTTACGTTCACTGTAATTCCTGGCATGCTTGCTTATGTCTGCATATTGTTTTGTGCTTTCTCTTTTCCTTAGTTTTTCTATATTCATTGGATTTCCTCTTTTCCTTTTTTCTCCTCTACTGTATTGGGAGCTTAACCGAGTGTCTACTCTATTGGTATTTATTTTAAATCTTAAGGGTAAAAGTCAAGGTGAGGTGGGTTGGGGAAATGTGGGAAATGAGGAAACGGAGGCAGTGAGGGCAGATAATGCCCGAGAAGTGTGACTTCAACGAAGAGACACCAGTGAGACAGGGGTGCTGCTGGGGGAGGTTACTGTCTAGTTGCTTGTTTTGAGATGGGAGAGACTTGAGCATGCTGAAATCCCGAGGGAAGGATCCAGTAGAGAGAGAGAAGCAGCTGAGACAAGAGAGGGAAAAGATAAGTCAAGTTCCTGGGAAGGTGAAAGTGAGAAGAGGCAGAGCACAGATGGAGCGATGGCCCTTCTGCAGGAAGAAAGACATCTCTTCTCCCGTAACAAGCAGAAAGGAAGAGAAATCAGGTCTAGATGCAGAAAAGTACGAACACTTGATAGGAAGTTGAGGGAGTTCCGATCTGATGGCTCTTCACTTTCTCTGTGTGGTTGGAGGTAAGGTCACCTCCTAAGAGTGAAGGGAGGCTATAGGTTTGCAGAGAGTAGAAGAGATTTGAAAGAATTTCTGCAGAGGAAAAGCGCATTAATCAGAGAAGCCTAGCAGGGCTGCTGGGCAGTACTGACGGTCTAGTTGACATTGATGACCACAAATTTATTGTGGCACTAATCTGTCCAGTTGTACCATTTTCTTCAGCAACACTCAAAAGCCCATGGTAAGGGCGAAGGAAGCAGATATATGAGTTCATCCTGATCTGGGGTTTGCCAAACAGTTACCAACAAAGAGAATGGGGCAAGATGAGTCAGGTTATTGGCGAGTTATTGAAATGATGGGCTATAAAATGTGAACTGGGTAGTGAAGGAAATGAAGACAAAAAAGCGTTGATGGAGAGAGACAAGTAGAGGCCAATATGCTGGAGGGCCTATAGGTTTAAAGGTTCATAGTCACAGAATAGTCACTGCAATGAAATCAGAGAATGATCACAGCAAGACAAGCTAAGACAGCGCGGTCCCTGGCCCAATACCTGTAGTCAGAGATATGGGTGATTGGATTAATGATTCCCGATGCTACCAGCATAGGCTGCTCTGTTACTACTACCAAGAATTGTTCTGCATTTTAATCAGATTTTTAAAAACATGCCTATTCTATTTTTTTAAATGTTTTAAAGAATACCATTAAACCACATAGCCACATGATTAGAAATTATTTTAATTATAATTTTCACTGGTTACATTATTCACCATAGTTTTCTACATCCCTGCATTTCCCTCTTTTAGATTTGCTTTTTCTAGTTTGAGAAATTTTTTCAGGTAGGTATGTGGTAGAGGTGATATACTTTCTAAAGCATTGCAACTAATTTTTTCTTTAACTTCACTTATAAACAATAATTCACTTGGATCCAGAACAAGGACAAAGGAGCATTTTCCCACTTATTTCTGGATTTGTTCCAGATGGTTGAATTTTTTAGAATCATGACGTAGTGAAAACCAGAAAATCACCACAATTAAATTGTGACTCATACATGACAAAACAATAAAAGAGAGAGGAAATTTTGTAGAATTTCCAGGTGGCAAAATTTTTACAGAAGTTTATCTAAGGAATAGACCCAACTACAAAGGAGAACTAGTGATAGGTCAATATCCATATTGTTAGTATCTCATATCAATGGGGAAATAATAAATTATTCAACAAATGGTTTTGTAACAACTAGAAAAAGACTGAGTTGGATCTCTAGATTACAGTATTACTCCTTACATCAAAATTAATTCTCAGATAGTTAAGGATATTAATGTAAAAGAAATACAAAAACTAAGAAGCCATAAAAGTAAGCACTAGAAAAATAAACGACAGGGTAGCAGCTATTTTTATAGTCTCAGCATGGGAAATACTGACAACTTCAACAAGTCAAGACTATGACCAGTTCACCCAAGCAAGTGCTAAAATAGAGTTCTGTGGTTATTCTTATCAGGATATCAGTTGCTCCCACAGGGACCTCACTACTGTGGCATCATCTGAAATCAGGTGTCAGCTGACTAGAGACATCACAGGCTCCAAGTGACGGTCACTGCTGAGAAAACTGGTCATCCATGCGACAGTGAGAACGGAATGGAAAAATTTCTGATGGATGCAATTTAAATGTACTAAATTTCCCCTTAAATTATATTCATTTTTCATACCTCTCACTCCATTCTGAATGCAAGAGCCAGTGCAAACAATGCCTCACTGAGATAGGAAAGCAGAAAGTACACTTGGGTTTTTACATCCTTTTGCATAAAAATAAGTAGCTTTGTACTGTCCTAAATTATAAACAGAATTCGCCTCTCTCAAAAATAAAATAAAATAAAATAAAAATGAGAAAAAGGAGACAATCTCATCTTCTAAAGAAGAGAATGAAAATGAAATTATGTTGGACAATTTTCTCTTTGGAATTTGAATAAACTCTCTTAGGTGAAAAAAATATTATTTCAGGAGTAAGATGAAACCAATACACTTCAACATGACATTGTTTAGTTTAACAAATAATCATTGAGAACCGACAACTGCTGAGGAATAGGCATGATTGCAAGAAATGACCCAAACTATTAAAGGTTAGCGAGAAAAACGAATATAAACAGTTTTGACACGAAATGTAATTGATGACAGGTGTACACAGGTGCTGTTTTTC